TAGCATCCTGAAATTAGGCTTTTTAATAAACACAAACCTTTTAGTTTGCAATTCTGAACTCTGAGATCTATCCTTACAAGTAACTTTCTTTTTTTTTTTTTTCCAAGTAACTTTCTATGTATCTTACAACTGATCTTTTTTTTTTTTCCCCCAGAACCGGGGATTGAACTCAGGTCCTTGCTCTTGCCAGGGAAGCACTTATTCTGCTGAGCCACCTCCCCAGCCCCAGCTGATCTTAATCTATATCTTGATATAGATTTGTAGAATGTGACGTAGTATTTTTATACCATAAAACAGTCATCCCTAGTCCAGCTGTATCAGCATCCCCTGGTAGCCAAGTTAGAAATTCACATTCTTAATACAAATCCCACACTGTTTGAAGCTTAGTGATCTGGTTAAACAAGCTCCCCACCCCCACATTTCTGATGATTCTGAAATATGCTGAAGTTTCACAAATGTTGTCTCAAAATTATAGACTATTCTATATTGTTCCACTGATTTTTTTTCTTGGAACCGGAGATTGAACTCAGGCCCTTGCATTTGCCAGGCAAGCGCTTATTCTACTGAGCTATCTCCCTGGCCCCTATTCCACTGATTTTAAGGAGTATAAATTTCCTTCTATACCTGTTCTCAGTAGACTACATCAACTGTCAGTTGCTGCCCATAATTTGGACAGTCTAGACCCATTCTGTTAGATATCCTGTCATACATAACTTTGAGCTGTATGTACTTCATTGTCACCCTGTAGCTGGGGATTACAGTATGTTACCAGTGACAGTGGAGACCATATTTATTGCTCTGTTGGGCCAGATGCCTGACCTTTTGTAAATCTCCTATGGTGTAATTAGTGATGATATCCCTATTTCTTCTGTCATCTGCCTATATGTAGGAAGTACTCCAAACACTTTCAGTGAATGAATTTCCTTAAGGATAGGAAATCCTTTGGGATGCAAAGGTTCTGTCTGATGAAACTATCTTAACCTGCAAATTTGAAAGTACCCTGGTGCTGATGGCTATGTCCATAGCCTTGATAGTGGTGATGGTTTTATAGATGTATATTTACTTCCAGACTCCACTGTACAAACTAAATGCATACAGTTTTTACGTATCAGTTGTGTTTAAGAAGTACTTTGGTGCATTCCCTAGTTTAAGATATAGACTATACTTGCACTAGATGATGGTGACTATATATTAAGTACTTTCTAAGAAGTGGGCTGGCTTTCTTTCTTTCTTTATTTTGGTGGAACTGGGAATTGAACTCAGGCCCTTGTGCTTGCCAGGCAAGTGCTTATTCTACTGAGCTATCTCCCCAGCCCCAAGGTAACTATTAAGTCTAACTTATAAATAAGGAAACCAAAATTTATAGAGTAGCTGAGTAAGAACCAGGTTTTTTTGTTTATGTGTGTTGTGTTTTTTACATAGCCCATTCTGGCCTTGAGCTCTCAATTCTCTTGCCTTAGCTTCCTAAGTGCTGAGATTAAGAAGCTTGTGCTGCTATGGCACCCAGCTTAAAACCAAATCTTTCAGA